TACAAGGTTCATTTTCCATGAAATATAATTTCTGTCGAGTTAGACATTCATATTTTTTTATCAATGTTAAATTAAGCGCAACGCATTACATTTTATAAATATAGTATGACTATGTTAAATGACCTTGACATATTCAAATCACACCATTACAATAAAAGTTAAAAACTTGCCCATTTCCTGCACACACCACAACACATCCTGATTTGCATTACACCTTCCTGTACAGGAAAGGCCATCTGTCATCTTATTTCTCAAATGTGGCACATTATTGTCCATTTGTCTATATAACTGATGCCTTTGTACAGCTAAAATATTAAACTGCAAATATAATAAAATTATCCTTTCATTAATTTATAACACATGCTTTAAAATGTCATGCATTAATAACACCCAATTAAAGACAGAAAATACATTTGAAACAAATAGGTTTCATCTCAGTTTTCAAATATGACAGACTTCTTTTCCATTTATGTAATCTTGGTTAAAATATTAGGTCACACTTAGTAGCACTTACCTGCAGTCGAAATAATAATTAGGCATAAATTGATTCAAGCTACAATGATAAAGTACTTACAACACAGGAAGACTCTATTGCTTTGGATATCCAGCTATATAATGAGAAACACATACTCCACTTTGAAAGACAAATTTTTGTTTTATTAAAATTTCCCCATGTTAAATGCTATGCCATCACAGTGGTTGCATGGTCTGAGGTGTGGGCCTTGTGCCGCTTGGTCACTGGGACCGTGGGTTCAAATCCCACTCAAGGCATGGATGTTTGTCTGCGTCTTTCTGTGTTGTGCTGTCCTGTTTACAGGTAGAGGCCTTGCGATGGGCTGATCACTCATCCAAGGAGTCCTACCAACTGTCTAATAGATCAAAGCCAATGAAAAGTTGGGACCCGCAGATGTTCAAGGCATTGAATAATGGGTCACCTAAGCATCCTAAGTAAGTATCCATGTTAAATGCAGTGGAACATAGTCATATTAAATGCTTCCTCCTGTGTTGAACTTACTAAAATAGTGCATAAATTATGTATAAATGACTAGTTTCTTTGTGTCAAGATACAGTGAATTTAAATGGTCTGGCTGATGTTTAAATAAACAGCACAAGACTATTGTGTAGACATATTAATTGCTGTTTAGGCTATTAAAAATTGCTCTATGAACTATGGATATTACTTACTTATTGATATGAGAGGGTGATTATGGATGATTGGGAAAGAAGTGTTACAGTTGATAATTACATTCGCATGAAGGGATTCAGGAAAATTCAATAATTTTAGCTGGTATAGCTTGTATCCTAGGCAAGATTCAAACCATGTAATTCCCAAATTTAAGTCAAATGAATTACTTCTTAAACTACATCTGCATTTCATCTGGCTGGCTTGATTATGCAACTCACTTGATAAGATTTTAACCATAAGTAATGAGTACTTCTGGTTTTGACTTACATTTTATGTGAAATCTGAAAATCCCAGTGAAATTATGTAGTATGTCTGAAACTATCCCAAAATTAATGTGTGATGCAGCTTACTTCATAAGAAAGTTATGAGACCACAAGATCACTGGAAACATTTATCTTGCTTTGCTAGAGAACTTCACCTTTCTGCTACTGGAAGATGAAACTTTTCAGCAACATGGAGCAATGCCTCATTATAGCAACAGTACTGCTGATGAACTTGGAGATTTCCTGGGCATTGGATAGGGAGAGGAGGCTCAACCATTTGACCCCTTGACTTCTATTTATGGGGTTGTATCAAAAGCCTTATGTATGGATGTACTTATAGCCAACTTACATTAATTCAAATAATGAGTCACTGCAGCTGATTAACAGTGCTTCATTAGAGTGACTTTCTGGACACACTGTCTTTCGTTGAGTAATCTGGTTTTGGATATGAAAATCTCACAAAATATGTTATTTTGTCATAATTTAATAACACCTCCTTAATTGCTTACATCATGTGCCCTAGAATGAGGATGAAACAGGGTTAATTTTAAGGTTTGACATTTATTAAGGTACTGTAATTTGGATATAATCATATGCTAAGTTGCATGTTCTTCTTCTGGTCAGGTGCTTCATCACTGATCAATCTCCACTAATCTTTCTTCTCCAACAAATAATCCAGTGTGTACTTTGCAGCATTCATTCCCTGTACAGAAAATAGAAATAAATCTTACTAACTTTAGAATCAGATCAAATAAGATGCAAATCTAAAGCTCTTGCAGACCCTGATGAATATCTAATTAATCTAATTTTTTATATGGCATCTTTGGTACTATTCTCCCACTTTTATAAACTGCAGATAATAAAACTGTAATTTTTTATATGGCATCTTTGGTACTCTTCTCCCACTTTTGTAAACTGCAGATAATAAAACTACACTCCTTTCACTGTGAACCCAAAATATAATTAGTTTTATAAATTGCCTTACACAAATTTATGTG